CCCCCCGCCCCGCCCCCCACTCACCTCGGCACCTCCACCCGTTCAAGTACGGCAACAAAGAAGCCGCCGGTGAGCGTGGTTTCAGGGGAGGCCCGGAGGCAGCGTTCAGCCCCCGGAAAAGTGCCGAGGCCACGGTGGGGCCAGGAGGGGAGGACGGGGACTAGCCTGTGGAGGTGAACAGACTTCTGGGTAAAAGACAGCAGCCCCCTTCCCCAGGACCCCGGCGGGTCCCCACTACCTGAAGGTCCCCGAGTTCTGCTGCAGGGCGTCCCGCACCACGTCTTCATTCTCCTCTTGGCAGAGGGAGCACGTGGAGTAGACCAGACGCTGCAGGGAGGGGAAAGTGAGCGCGTGGCACAGTGCTCGCCGCTGGAACCCAGCCAGGGCCTGCAAGCGCGCCTTGCTAGGTGTGCCCGCCCCGGGCTCCTCCAGCCGTCTGGTCGCCATACCTAGGGACAAAGCCTGTCAGCTGCAGACGGGCCTCGTTTCGCACCGAGATCCCTGCACTGCAGGGGACAACGTCTGCCCAGGGTCACCAGTATTAGACCGAGGCCAAAGGGAACCGCTGCCCCTTCCGCCGCAAGGTTGCCCCGCGTCTGCAGGTCCCGCGGCCAGGCTCTGTCCCCATCTCACCAGAGCCGCTACAAGAAGGATCCAGTAAGATGTACTGGACCTGACGGTAGCGCTGGTCGGAGGGCGATACCGCCAGGAAGTCCTCCTCGGCCAGCTCGCAGCACGAGACTCCGGCCCGGGCCAGCAGGGTAGCCATGGACGCCAGCCGCCCAGCGTCCAGGTCAAAGGCAAAGATCTTGCTGGAGAAGAGGGGAGAGACGGGGCGAACTGAGAATCCACGGGGAACCTCAGGGCCCACAGTTCTGACACGAGAACATGTCCCTTCACAGGGACACAGAAGAGAAGGGACAGTGGTTAGAGGGACCTGACCTGGAGACTCTGCCCCAAGGGCTGAGGGATTCCTATCTTCCCACCGGCCACCCAGAGGGCAGCTGAGCTTCGGGCTCCGCCACCAACTGCTCTGGGTCCAGAAGCGAATATTTAAGGGGAGATCCTCCTTTCGGCCTTCAAGCCCCCACTGGGTCACAGTTTTCCTCATCTCGTCCTCCAAGTACAAGGTCAGACCCCAGCTCCCTCAGGCTGACCATGGCACTCACCCCTGGTTCTTGAGAAGAGCAGCCAAGTGACTGGTCTTGTTGCCTGGGGCAGCGCAGGCATCGATGACGTGGGAGCCGGGGGGCGGGGCCAGCAGCACGGCCGGCAGACAGCTGGCCTGGCAGGCAGAGCAGGCCCTGGGCTGGCGCACAGAGGCCCGGCTCCCTCTCGGTCCTCCCCTTCCCACCCACCTGCCCTACCTTGTCTTGTAGAATGAGGTGGCCGGCCTGGTACAGCGGGTGGTCGTGCAGATCCGTCTGGGCTGGAAACACCAGCAGCTCTGGCAACAAGGGATCCAGAAGAAAGCACTTCCCTTTGAGGGCCCGGAGGTCCCCGAGGCTGCCAGGGAACAGGAAGCATCGGCACATCTGAGTTCCTCCGGGCTATGCGCCAGGCTGGCCATTTCACACGTTTCCTCACTTGGACTGTTCATTCACGCGACAGATGCTCCACCGCCAGGAAGCGAGGGACAGGATCGATTTGATACGAATGGGCAGCAGAGGGGCGCCTGGGTGGCTCAGTCAGTTAAGTGTCCAACTCGACTTCGGCCCAGGTCAGGATCTTGAGGTTCCTGGGCTCAAGCCCCATGTCAGGCTGCCAGCGCTGAGCATGCTTAGAATTCTCTCCGTCTCTCTCTGCCCCTGCCCTGTGTATGTGCGCACGGGCTCGCTCGCTCTCTCAAACAAACAAAAAAACCACCTAACTTGGACAGAGGTCACTCCTGGGGAGGCGGGCACCGAGCTGACTGCTCAGGGGCAGGGGTCTCCTAACGTGAGGAGCGGAGACGGAAGCGTCATGTTCCAAACCCTGGCGAAGCGGGCCGACAACGATGCTCAGTTCGGAAAGCCATCCACAGGGGCAGAGCTGGAAGCCAAACCCAAATAGCCACTGCCTGGCGCGCCGCCCAGCCTCCCAACCACGTGCTGCGGGCAGAAGGACAGAAGGACCGTCTACCACAGAAGGGGAAGGCGGACGCAGGGGCGACTCCCCAGGATGAGGGGGATGGGGACGCAGGGGAGCAGCGGGGAGTGCACAGGAACGGTGGCGGGCAACGGAAGCAGTGGGCACAGCACAAGAGAGCCAAGGACGGTTTAGGCAGGGGAGATCTTTCTGTGGCCGACCACATGACACGTCTGGAGGCGGAGAGACCAGGTCAGGGGCTGCTTCTGCCAAAGAAGCCGGAAAACCACGGGCAGAGTGGGGGGAGGGGGCAGAAAGATGCCGCAGGCAAGGGCGTAAGTGACGAGGGTGAGAAGAGAAGCATTTCCGGTGACTGGGTTCGTGGCCCAACCAAATGCTTGCGTGATGGTGATGTCAGCTGCCAGGTTAAGAGGGAATGCAGAAGGGGCAAAGGTCAGGGATGCAAGGACGGGTTCAGGGTCCACAAAGCAATCCCCGTGCTGTGCTGCACTCACAACAGGAGGGATAAAAATCCTGATCGGCTCATCTGACAAAACTCAACATGCACTGAGGATAAAGACACTCTCCGCAAAGCAGGTGCAGAAGGCACACGCCTCGCCACAATAAAGGCCGTATGTGAAAAGCCCACAGCTGACATCCTCGGTGGGGAAAAGCTGAAAGCCCTTCCTCTAAGATCAAGATCAGAGATGCCCACTCTCACCCCTGTTACTCAACAAAGCCTGGTGAGCATTTGGGCGAGATCAAGAAGAAAAAGGCGCCCACGTTGGAAAGGAAGAAGTAACACGGTCACTATCTGCAGATGATATATATAGAAAACCCTAA